ATGTTTGCAAAGCATTTTGAGATATTGTAGTACTTTATGGTATTGTAACTGTCTTCATCCCAAAGGATGCTTGACTGCTTTGCACTGTACGGTTCTCGGCTCCTGGTTCTCTTCCTCCACGCATTTCCTCACTTGCACAGCGCGCGGTTCTCTTCCTCCACACACTGCTCATTACCACTTTAAGTTGTTATCTTACTAGGTGTCTCAGCCTAGGTTTTATCAGGGTCAGAGATATTCCAGACACTGCAAAGGCAGTAGCAGAAGCAGCTCCTCTTTAGAAGTCCATTATCAGCTACTGACCAAGGCTGTGTACTGTAAGGCCTATGGAATCACCACCTGTGTTTTCCTTTGGATAAAAACGTAAAGTTAGATCTTAGTGTTCACTGTCTGCAGCACTAACTGTGTTTTACAAGTTTAAAGCTTCTTGTATAATTTCAGTGGGATATGATTTTTTCTTTTTAAATTATTTTCTGGAATGGCCTAGACAGTAGACATCTCTTTTTCTGCTTACACTTTTTGTTGTGGTGGTCCCTTATTTCTATAGTCAGTGCTATAATCTTTTTATAATCTTCTGGTTCTGAAAGATGGCCACTGCACCTGTGAAATGAGGCAGCTGTTCACCCCCTGTAAGGTGTTTGTTAATAACCAACACAATGAGTGCAGGATATGAAGAACTGCAAATTAAATGGTAGAAAGACCTTAGAGAAAAGCAAGAACGTGATGCCTACAGTTGCAATATCCCCAGAATATGGACTTGATAGCTGTGAGAGTGTCTGTTAAAAATTGTTTGGGTTTTGGTGCTTTGCAAATGCCATTTGCAATTGCCATGCAATGCACACCCTAATGACAGTGGAGGACATGCTGAGAGAATGGTTCAGATTGATTTACAGGAACATGCTCAGCTAAGTAAGTTGCTGGATTAATGCTCTGCGGTGCCTACGTTTTCTCTAGAGGCCTGCAGCTAAATTCAGGAGAGGAGCAGGTCCTCATCTGAATTTAGTCATTAGATCTGACAGGACCATAATCTTTCTTAGTATCTAAATATGGATATAAATGTGGTGGTGCTGCTGCTGCTTCCTGCTTTGGAAATGCTGGGAGAAACAGTAGTTTTGTTCATTTGCCTTTGGAACCTGGCTTGATAAGTCATGAGTAAATAGGCTTGGTTTTATTTTTACCAATTCACATTGATTCCCAACAGGTATTTTTCATCACCTAAGCTCACCTGTAGCTTATCATATCTGGTTCAGGTGTGAAATAGCCAGCTGCTCTGCAAGGGAGGATTGTAGAAAATGTACAGCTGGAGGAGCAGGGGAATGCCAAGTCAGAACTGAGGTATTTTGACAGCTGGGTGAAGACAGTTGTTCTGTACCAGCAAACTCAAATTTTAGGGATTATTGCAGATGTGAAGTTGCAGATATGAAACAGTACATTTGATGTGATTGACTTGCAGGATTGAAAAGTGCTGGCACAGGTGTAGGCTGCCCAGAAGGAGAAAAGTTACATGTGCTGCCTGCCTCAATTATGGTAGCTGGTGCTGATGTGAATAAGAAGAGTGTATGGACAGAGCGCTATACCTGAAGCTCTTAACACTCCAAGGTTCAGTCACAGCACTTTCATCTTCCTCAGAGAAAGACTGGAAAATATAGTGAAGCAAGAAAGCAAATACTGAAATGGAGGGAGGAGGTATAGCTGTTGGGCACGAGGCAAAGGGCCTGGTTAAATTGTTCTGATGGAGGAAGGAATGAGGTATTATTTCACCTCACTTCAATCTGTGGGTAAGGGCCAAAATTCCACCTTGTCGCCTAAGACAGCTGTGAGTTGCAAAAAGTAATCTTTACTTGGGGACAGAAGCATGCTTAAGTGCTGCCTCCTTAGGAGGAGGTGGAAGAATGAACAGAGCCCTGCAATAATGCTGTCAAGATTGTCACAGACTCCCTGGATCGTGGGAGGCAAGGCTTGGAAGAGTCTTACTATTGAGGTTTAAAATCGAATAAGGAGACGTTAGCTGGAGATGGATTGTGGCAGGCATATGGGGGAGGGATGATTTCTTTACCCCCACACTCCTGTTATTTTTGCCACACAGACCTGCCCTACCAGGTTGCATCGCCTGCACAGGAGCAGGTATGGTGGCGCAGCTTGGGTGCAGTTTCTACAGTGGCTGACATCTGCCCAGAGGCTTTCTAAATCTAATCCACTCAGGTTTACACAACAGCCCAGGACATGCATTCCTCTGCCTGGTGGGCCCCTCAGAGCTACTATTGTCAGCCACAACATTTTGCCCGCAAGAGTTATGCAGATGCTGGGCTCAGGTGGCCCACGGACAAATGCCCCCTGGTACGCTGAGCGGTGCATCTCTTAATTTGCCTTTGCAGCCACACCTCTGAGGTGGGTCTCCCCTGCTCCCCTCTTGCTTTTCTTGTGGCTTTTTTCTCACCATCTACTGGAATTCAGGTGCAAGAACTTGACTGTGTAGCTGCTGTGAATAGCTGTGCTCTCTCGAGATGACTGTGCAGGCTCTGTAGAAATCAATTCAGGATGCAGGAAATCTGAGATTCATTTCTGCTGTCACAGCTGAGAGGGGTCCCTAAACACGAGAAAGGGTTGGTGACGTCTAAATCAACAAGATTCTTTTTGACTAAGGAGAGCAAAGGTTATTCCTCTGGGCCCTATAAATCCTGTGTATCCTAATTTAGAAAGAATCCAGTCTTGAGGCACTGAGCATCCTTTTCATTAAACTGCTCATGTTATACAAGCTGTTTTCCATCTTCATTCTGAGGAAGAGAATGTCCTCGAGTAATGTTAAAAAGGCATCCATCCTCTTCTCTGTTCAATTCTCTTGCTGGTTAGTAACCAGAATTGGAGAGCAGTTTGTCTGCACAGGTGTTCAGAATGTGTGTGTTGAAGACAAGGTGAGGAGTGTGGGAACTAAGAACCTACTAGAACTGTGTAAGCGATGTTCTGTTTGCCCATCTCCTAATTTACATCCTCTTTTCTTCCTACAGAGAGATGGTTGCCCTAAGATCGTCAACCTGGGCAGCTCCAAGACAGATCTCTTCTATGAAAGGAAAAAGTACGGCTTCAAGAAGAGGTGATCCTATCAGTACATGGCTATACCTCCTGTCAGGTTGGCGAGAGGGTCTTGGAACATCTCTGGACTTTACTATTATTAAAAACTGGTTGATTATTTTTTTTCTAAAGCAGTACAAATTCAGTAGTATACTTGGGGTTGGAGAAGTAACAGACCAAGTGGGGACTGAAACCTGATCAGGCCTAACTATCAGAAAGAGCAAATGAGCTTTACTGTCTCTTGCCTTTTCAGAAGCTCTGCTAGTATCTGCCCCAGCTCACTGTAAAAATCCTAGTGGGCAAGTACTTACGTGTGGAGGAGATGAGCTCAGTAAAAAGCAAGTGCCCTTTCTGGTGTGGGGAAACACCTCGTGCATGTTCTTACCAGGCCTCCTCTCAACTGTTAGAAATTGCCTCATGCATCAGTATTGAAGAACAGAGTGCCAGTCCCATGTGTCCACTTCCCTCTCCTTTCCTCCAGTATATTTCCATGCTGCCCTGTTTTGTAAGGAACCTGCTCATGGCTAGTGCCTTCCTAGGGACCATGTTCCATGTGTCTTTGATAGATTAATCCAAGGCCTTTTCTTGTAACTGTTTCTGTAGAATGCATACCAATAAAGCTTTTTTTTGGTTTTGGGGGGTTTTTTGGGGGGGTTTTTGGGGGTTTTTTGGGGGGTGGTGGGTTTTTTGGGTTTTTTTTGGTTTTTTTATAAAAAGGATTTCTGTCTCGTTCAGTCTGTGCTTAGCTGGAGCTTTCTGGGGACACACAGGATTAGCCCAGCTAGAACTGCACAATGGGTTATCTGGTTTCTGACAGTGCCTGCTTATGGCCATGTGACCTTGCTGCAAGGAGCTTCAGGGAATGGCTGTGGCTTTTGTCTGCCTGTGATCCCAGCCACTGATCGTTTTGTCCCATAGCATGAGGATCGCTGAGCTTGTAACCCTTATCCTAGCTAATACGCCTGTGGATGTTGTTTCACCATGCAAACATCCAATCCCTTTCTAAAACCTACTAAGCTATTTGACTCACTATCCTGTTCTTGTGAATAAGTTAAAGCCTTCCCTGCTGTAACTGGAAACCAACTATTGTGTTCTAGGCTATTAGCTGTATGCATGCTGAAAACCAGAGGCTGCTTGTTTGTCAAATACCAGTACGGGCTAAAAGCAGTGTGTTGGCTCAGCAGAGATCTGGGAATGGGTGCCTTTATGCGGAGGCGGAACTGAGTTCCCTACTAGTGCATGCACTCCCCAGACGGTTAAATTAGGGTCTTAGCTCAGTGTGCCCTGTGGTCCTTAAAGTCTTAATCGTCTGAGCAGAGCGTGTGTTACGGTAACGGGATTCTCTTTGCACAGTCTCAGGGTGCAGTGCCTGTATTGTGCCCCTTCTGAGGTTTCAGTTGTTCCCTGTGACGCTAGTACTCATTCCTTTAACTCCCCTCTGGAATAAATGCTTCTTCTACCTGCTCCAGCCATTTAGATGTTTAGGATAAGAGTGAAATCAAGCACACAAGTTGTGATCATCCTTCCCTTACAAGTAATTTCTTCCTGCTGCAGCTGGCTCTAGCTATGACTGGTCCTGCAGCCATCTCAGCTGCTCCTCCCTTTCCTTCCCTCAGATATTAATTCTGTCAGGTTTCTCTTCTAAGCTTTTTGCAGTCCAGAGGGTTTCTGTATGTCTTCTTCTTTGTACCTTGGTTGCTTTACACAGCCTGTGGTTAATTTTTACTGACATGGATTCCATTTCCCAAGATGTTCAGAGCAAACTGCATTTCTGGTTCCAGCACACCCACTCTCAAAGCAATTCTACCTGAATAAGCGTCTGCCTCTTGATCCTGGCTGTGAAGCCCATGCCAGAGCCATTACCAGCCATGTTAAATTCTGTATTTCTTTAAAAGCAGGGCATGACATGCAGATTTTTTTGTACCTGGAACTTTATCATTTCAACCAGAATTTATCACTTGCTTTCAGTCAGGCCACCCAAATTATCTCACTTGGCATGCAGAAGGTTTGTACATATTTTTTTCTTTCCCAGAAGTTTCTAAGATAACAAAAGTTCTTCGGTGAAGCAAGAGGGAAATTAAGTTTGAATAATTTTTTTTTGTCACAGAGTCCCCCTGGTGCAGGGAGCCCTAGAAGATCTAATTTTAGAGGAGCCCTTGTTCCTGATTGCTTAGCAGGATCAGCCAGAGAGTGACAGAGAGGGATTGCTGTTGAGATATGAGTGTCCCCATCCCTTCCCCCACCCCCAAAAACGGCTGAGCATACTTACTTTCTTGGCACTCCTGGTGCCCTCACTCTGACTGCTGGGCATATTGGTCTGCATTCTGGCAGCAGTGAGAGTTAAGCTGCCATTTCTAGTTGTTCTGACTCACTGGGCAGGTGGAGAGAGGGAGGGACAGGCTTTTTCCCCTTTGCCTTGTTTGCTCAGACAGCTCTGGGGAGAATGCCAAATGCTGCTGGTGCTCAGATCACTTCAGTGTCGCTGCCTTTCTGGTACTTTCAGAGCACGGATGGGACGTTGCCCTGAAGCTGGTAATTTAGAGAAGAGTAATGGACACAGTTGGGTAGCCCAGGAAAGCTCAGCCTTGCTTCTGTGGCAATTATTTCTGTTCACCAGCAAATGAAACCCAGGCAGGGCCCCTAGAAAAGTGCAGTATTTCCTCCCTAAATAGATTTTAAAGTATTTGTGTAGTAGAAGGAGATTTCCTAGTAGTACTCGAGACCGGAGCACATGCTAAAAGGGTGAGCTTCCCTGCTGGGGGAAAATGTGACAAGACGTGTCCTCCTGCCGTGTGCCCGCCAAGCTCTGGAAGGGCTTCATCAGACCTTGGAGTCCTAAGTAGCCTGCTTCGGGGGCTCCCTGGCTGCCAGCTGTGGAACACTTGCACAACAACTGCAAGGAAGGGTGGGAGGGATGGCTGCATCTCTGGCAGCTGAACCCCCGTGGTGCTGCCTGCAAACCTTAATTGCATGGAGCTAAACGTGTCTTCCTGCTGTTACTTTTTTAGGTAGGTTTATCTCTTTTTTTTCTTTTCTTTTTTAAATCAAAAGTTGTTACATAATAAGTAAAAAATACTTTTAATTAAAATATTTACATTGGGGAGAAATATGGGACCTCTTGGCCTATTAAGTAATTGGCCTGTTTGTTGCCAATACCAACAAGGCATAGCTACATTCTGAAACGTGGCTGTTCCCTGTTACATGCCTCTTCGGTCCAAATACCAGCCGCAGCTACAACTGATCTCAGCAAATAGCTCCGTAACACACCTCTGGTCCTTTGAATCATCTAGACCTTGTCTTGACAAAGCCCTTGAGCCAGAAGCATTACCTTTATTTAAAAAAATAAAAAAGAAGGTAGGCAAAGGCCATGAGCTTTCCCTGCGGGAGCTGCGTAGACAAAATCCTGCTTCTGAAACCTTATCTGCACAGGAACTGTTATTTTCTCATTACAGGGATCAGCTGGAGATGTTTGCCTTTTTCAATAGCAGGAAAAAATTTTTCATTTCCTTGAGGTTGTCACATGACCTGAACATACATAAAGAGGATTCAGGGTATGGCAGTGGTAATTACCCCCAGTTATAACCTGACTGCCCTTCCTTGGCATTAAGCAGCCCAGCAAAATGAGCTCTGTCCCAGCAGCCTGGTGATCCCTTCCCTCCCCTCCCCGCATGCACGTGATTCGGTAGTTTTGCTTTGACGTAACAGCCAAATGGCTGAGGACAGTGTGAGCGGATACCGTGACAGAATTCCTCTGCCTGCATGTGTACCAGGGCAACGCGATCATTAAAGGAGCACAGTCAAGGCACAAGTATTTTAAAGAGCCCTGATGCGTAACACCCTCCTAGTAACACCTTATTAAAACAACAATAGAATTTTAGAAATGCAATTGCCTTTTTTTCTTAATGATGCTAAAAATAGCACAGTCATTTTAATTTCCGGATCTCTGGCTGACAGTGATTTTGTTTCCAGTAAAGCAAGGGAGTATTAGGAAAATAAAGTGTTCTTTTGTAACTAAATTCCTTTTAAACTAGGAGTGATGAAAATAAGGCTGCTCATAATAGCTCTCAAAAATCTTCCCCTTCTCTTCTTCCCCCTTCCCTTGCAGGAAAAAAAAATAAACTTCAGAAGTTAGGTTTTTCTTTTTTTTTTAAATCAGTGGGAAAATGAGCAAGGATGGCTGCTGTAGTGCTGTGGCTAGGAAGGACTGCATTAACTGATTTCTTAACGCATGGTGTCGACTGCCTTCAGAAGAAGTCCTCTCCAGTGGCAAAGGCAGCACCTAAGGTAAAAGTTCCTAAGTGAGGGAGGACAAACCAAACCCAGAAAGATGCTGAGGATCTTCGTGGAAATGGGGCAAGGGAGGAACTTTATATTTTTGCACTTGGGAGGCAATTGCTGCAGGGAATTATCTAAGCAGAGGGACATGGAGCAGCTCAGGAAGTGTCTGTGGTCGTCTTCCCTTTTGAAAATGGGCGATAAATGTTCAAATGTAACTCTGTGATTGAGAAGATCGGAATCCAAGGTGGAATGTCACTCCACAGTGGTATTTTTTCTTGGGAATTCTTCAGAATCAAGACAAACAGGTCACTTCACAGGCCAGGCAGGCTACCCCTGCTGCAGCTGGCAGTGCAGGAGAACTTCACTCCCTGAGATCGGTTCTCCCTCCCTGGTCTGCTTGTGTCAGCTGTGAGGAAGATGCCTGAGATGTGGCTGGGAAAGCCTGGAAACGCCGCTCTTGGTGTCCCTTCCACTTGTTTGGAGCTTTACTCAGATCAAAAGCTGCCCTGCGTGTGGCCAGTGAGAGCACTTTGCAAGTGGTGTCCGTCCAAGGTGCCTCGGAGCATAAAATATGTGGGCTGTGGGTGCCTGTAGGGATTTTCTTTGTTTTCCTCAGAACTAGTAACAGGTCTGATTTAACGTACAGAGGTTTGTGTGCTGACAGCTGGCGCCCTTCAGACAGGTATGGTGATATGGTGAGAAAAATACAGCCACCCCGTCACGCTTCCCTGCATGTGGCTGCTTTAGGGGACCACTCGTTACCACGCTGGGTATCCCCTCCTACCCCAAAGCAAGTGTGCTTGGTTTTTTCTTCATTGTTGGGTTTTATTTGCAGAATAAAAAGCCACGTGGTGCTGAGT